CACGAAAGGTGATACATGTATGCATAAAAGTAATACCTCTGTGCACAAAAGTTATAGTACTTAAAAGTAAAGGTAGTTTAGACAATGAACAATGTTTCTCCATGTCTGCGTCATCATTTTGGTCAAGTTCATTTTTTTTAAAAGATCAAAACTTTGATTCCATCAAATAATAAATATGGATCTATAAGTTCATGTATATGTAATAATCCCTATTTTTTACCCTCAAATTAAGTTTGTTGAGTCAGATTAAAATAATAGTATTAGTTAGACTAAAATGTGAAGTCATCAAAAATTAGTTACATTTATAATTAAGGAGTAGTTGTTAGAAAGCGTATACAAAGACTATACTGTATGGAAGTTGACTAACCCCAAATTGTCTAACGTAATGTATTAGCTCAAAACGTTCCAATTACATGAAGGAACTAATCTTTGAAGCATATAATACGATGCTTAAAAGAATATACACATATATATATATATATGTTTATGTATAGCATGAGCAACAAACGATGCCACTGCATTGTATGGAAAATCAAAATCAAAATCAAAATCAATTCAACATGTACAGCAGCCTAAAAGAATTAAATAAATTGACTTTACGGGTCATTGTTCTAAAATGGATTTCAATTGGGATTGCGTAGACTTTGTATGTTGTGAAATGTTTCTTTGACCATTTTGAAAATTTCTGTGCATTATTGTTTCCGTTTGGTAGAGAGAAAGTATTGAATGAAGGGGGGAAGAAAAGGGTAGGGTTGGAAAATTTTTCCTTTATCTGGATTATGATCATTATAATGATCCATTTTACTATTAGGTAGGGTATGTTTGGTAGAGAGGAAGTATTGAACGTAAGGAAGAAGAAAAGGGTGGATGGAAAATTTTTTTATCGTTTTGCTTATCGTTTTTGTTGGGATTTATATGCCCTGGCATAGCAAATTCTTATCTGGATTATAGTGACATATGTTCCTGACATATCTGAAATATTTATCATTTATATAATTGGTGAATTCAATGTATTATGTTTCGATTCTGTCCATGTAATTACAAGAAATATTTATATATATGTATGTGATGGTAATCAATACATAATATATAAATAGTAATTATAAATTGTTCATAGTCGGTAATTATGGATGGACTCATAATTAATTAAGACTTGAACTGGATCCGTATTAGGTTGAGATATATTGCGAGAGCCGTCGTATGCAATTACTCCCTATCACCGTCATGGCATTTGACTCTTAAGTATGAGAAAAGTATAGACTCTTTTATTAATTAATAATTACTTTGATTTGTTCGACGGATTCTTCGGGATCCTTAGACCGACACTTTGGGTAGTTATGTAATTAATAGTTAGAGGGTTATATTTTCAATATTTGCATCATTACTACTTGTATTTATTTTGTATTGATTATGGTTGATCACAAAGTAAATTCGAAGGCCTTCGTGTGGTTTTAGACAAAATGATTTATTATATATTTATTTATTTAAATTATTATTTTTGTCAAACAAATGTTTTATTGTGATCGAGCCAGAAATAATCAGAGGTACCAAAATAGATATATTAATTAAGTAGTCGGATTGATGGCTTTATTTATCCGATAACTAATTATGCATAGAGGGGTCAAAGTGCAATATTGACTTAGAGGTTATTTATTATTTAATTGGAGTTCAATTAATTTCTTTTAGTGGAGTAGAAATTAATTTATGAATTAATTGAATTGGTTCCATGGACCGGGCCAATTATTAATTCATTATAGCCAATAAAATAATAGGCCCAATGGATTCTCACTCATAGCCCAACTTGATATTGGAATCATATTAGATTTGAGACATATGAATTAGAGATGGAGAAGGATTTGTTGTTTCCTTTTCTTTATTTTTATGTTGCCTATAAATATACATGGTCTATGTATATTTTAGGGGGTAATTTTTATGAGAAGGAAAAAGGGAATAAATTTTCTCTCTCTAGAAAATTAGGGTTTATGTTCTCATATAATGGAGGCTCCCATAAGCCTAGTTTTCCAAGGTAATTCATGGATGCTTATGAGTGATTTCTAAAGGTAAAATAATTACCAAGAAGACGGAGATCCAAGGAGAAGACATCTTGCTAAGAGATTTACAATAAGTGAGAACATTCACTTTAGAGGAAAGTTTTAAAGGTTTACTCAGACTTTTGATGTAAGTATTCAATCCATTAATTGAATGATACATTATATTTTTATTTTTGCATAAAACTTATCTCTATGTGATGAATCAAGATTTATGAATCAAAATCCCTCGAAAAGTTTTTAAAACTTGCACGTTTCCCAACAGTTTTCTTAAGATTGGAGTTTTAATCGGAGTTGGATTCTCTTCGCACACAATTTAATCTGAACAAAGATGATAATGTGGTGTTTTTGTAACCACGAAAACTATTAGAGATGTATTATTCTTAAGAATATACTTTATCTCTCTATATAACTAATGTAAAAATCTAAGTAAAGCAAACAATATATATATATATGCACGATATCTAAATTCGATTGTCTTGTTGTAATTGAGTATTTGTCACGGAGGCTGTTTTTTTTGTCTATTTATTTAGTATGAATAAAATACCAGCATGAAGGAAACAAATTATTAGTATTGGTATTACTTTATAATTAAATTTGTCAATCACCAAAACACATAACTGGCGGAAGGAATCTTGAAGAAGAGAAAATATAAAACAATTAGCTTCCCTAAATATTAAATTTGGTATATTAACTTATCATGTATGGCATTTTGTATATATATGTGACAATGAAATATAAATATATACAATTATTAATTTCTCTTTCTTTCCACGACGAAAAGAAAGTTAATTTTTGTTGAATTGACTTCTCAGAAAATGGGTCCAGTACTGTTTAACTAATTTTTAATTAAATAATTTTTAATTAAATGTAACAACCCACTAATCCTATTTTTCAATGAATTAGTGCTGATATTGATTTTAGAAAAAGATAATTCATGTCACGGAATCTATTAGCATATAATAAAAGTAGAAATGATGATGATAAATTTATATTAATTTTATTGTTAATAGTATGAAATTATTCTTAAACTAGATTTTTACTTCAAAGTTGGAACAACATAAAATAAAATTTAGAAAACTTTTTTTTATATAAAAAAATTGCAATGTTGGTTCAAGACAAGTATAATGATAGATGTGAATTTTAAAAAATCATTGACTATTTATAAGTATCACATTTTCACCATTGAAGTGATTGACCCAATATATATATTTTTTTGGGTGGCAGTTGATAATAATTGATTTATGGCACTAATTTTTCTTTCAAACCATGATTGTTTAGGAGAACGAAAAAATTGAGATGCAATATTAATGAGATACACACAAAGATAGGCGTACTAGGTGATTGCAATAAAGCAACAGTTCATTGGCAAGTCAATAATCATGTCCTTTTTAAAGAAGAAGCAAAGCTTTTACTTAAAAATACCAAAGATGACAAGACCTTGAGCTGACAATGCCGAAGCAATAATCATCAAAATTAATATTGATATAACAAGTGCAACCCATTTCCGACCTTTCTCATTCTCTCTCTCTCTCTCTATATATATATATATAATTTCTAGGTTTCATCGATCAGTCGCTTTAGTGTCCCACCGACTCTCCCATCATGGCTATTCCAATAATAAAGTCCACCAACCAAGTTCTGTGATTCAACTTGTGAGTGACTCACATAGCTCAGACGGTGCATTATCTGCCAAGCTTTGGTTTGCCACCATTTTTTTTTTTCTGCGCCATGACAAAAACTTGCTTTGTATTTTTGTTTTTGATTTGTCAATGTATTATAACAAAACACAGATAAGACTCGTATTTGGTCATGTTATTACCATTGGAATAATATCGAAGTCTTTTCAAAAAAGATGTTAAGATCAAAAAATTTATACTTTTGATTTTTTCTGCAATACTGTTCATAAATTTAAAAATAAAATTAATTAGTCATTTAATTTTTTTCAAACTTACACTTTTTTACACCAAATATATTTTTACTTCCAAAAATATTACAATAAATATGTTATCAAATAGACTTTCAAATAGTATTGAACACATTTTAAAGTTAGAAACATTACTTCTGTTTGATCTAAACAAAAGTACAAAACAAAAATAATCACAAGTTAACAATTTGACATTAATTATTGTCTAATTTATAATTAAATATACACCGAATGTGTTCGCTCTATTATAACATAGAAATCATGAATTCAAAATCGAAAACAACTTCTTCAAACGCTAGTACACTGAATTTGTTTTTATTATTAAATTTTTCTATTACGCTCCATGCCAGGGGCACCTAATATTCTGGTTCCGTCCCAATTGAATTTATCCCTACTATTTATTAAATCCAACCATTGCATCCGGTGCACTAAAAAAAAATGTTGGCTAGGGAAAAACATTTTCATTTACTTGGCATAAATTCATTTTTTTTTTCCTAATGAAAAATTCAAACAATTAAAGTGATGATTATTTGTAAAAACTAAATTGGTCCACTCTAGAAAAGAGAATAAAATGTGTAACAATCAAAAGAAACGTGGTAAAATTAAATTCTCTAATGGTCGGTCATCCTCTCTATGTTGCTTAATGGGGACCATCTACCACAAAAGAATTCATCAGAAACGCCTAGAAAAAATCAAAGCAACAAACCGTCACCGCGTGTCAATGGTCTAACCACCCATCGTCAGACCCACCACATATTCCAAGCAACTTCGTGAATCACGAGTCACGACTACGAAAAAATAAAAAAGATTTAACGGATCGAGTCTACTCCGTCACAGCTGCTGAGTCATCAATGACACCACCATGTTTCGCTGACTCAGCCGTCACAATCTCTTCCTCCTCTAACACTTTGCAACCTTTTCTGACGTGTTCCTTTAATCTCTATCTTTTCCCCAATCAACATCCGCCACATCAGATAACCTCCCAATTTATTCTTATTTTATTATCCTCCCACCATCGTTATAAACCCCACCCCCCTCTCCTTTCCAAACCTCTCCGTTCACTCTCTCTCTGCATCCATCAATCCTCACTTCCAATTCATTTATAAGTTCGCTCGATTCGATTCTGCGATTCCGATTTTACGAACTTTTCTGAAGTTTTTTTTAATGGAGATTCCGGAAATAAACATGATTAGTGATTTTCAAGCAGGCATGAAATGTCTGCAAAACCCATCTTTTCTTTCGGGTATCGGAAAAGTGGCTCAAGCTCACAGTTTCTGGAAATGGGGTGCTCTGGTTTTTGCATTGGTCGCTGCTTTCACCGGCGTGATCAACACAATCAAGCTGTTGATTGTTCGATTCAGTAGAATTGTTTTTATTTCTTCTTCGGAGCCTCTTCTTCAGCACCTCAACGAAGACGGCTTCGACGACGACTTCAGCGACATCGACTCGGTCTCGTCGGTCTCGTCCGACGACGGAGAAGAAGACGAAGACGAGTCCACGGCGTCGTTTGAGGAGGAGGATCAACAGCCCGGCGATGAAGATTTCTCTGTCGCGGGTTCGAGCTCTTTTTGCGATTCCCGGTGGCAAAACTGTAATTTAAAGCTCCGGCGACGATTCTCGTGGTCGGACTTCGCCGCCGGCAGGAGCGTTGTGAAGTTGTGGGACAGCTTTGGTTTGGGGTTAGATCTTGAAGATTGTTCTGGCAGTGCGATTTCTGTTTGGGACTTGAACAAAGATCGGAAAGTTGGCTCCTTTTTCGGCGGGAGATCTCAGATTCCTGCGTTCTCGGTGTTATCGTCATCCGCGATCTTATCGGCGGAGGTGAATAACAGCAGCAATGTGACAGTGGGGCTGTATGACACGAGGGTCGGGCGTCAGATTCCGACGGTAACCGCTGAGTGGAGGCAGCCGCATGGGAAGGCCGTGGGTATCAATTCCGGCGGCGTCGAGAAGGTGTACGTCAGGGACGACGTCACCGGTGCGTTAACGGTTGGTGACATGAGAAATGTGAAGACGCCGTTAGAGAATTTAACGGAATCTGACGGAGATATCTGGTGGGATGCTGACGGCGCTATTGTCGCAAATGAGTTCGCTGACAATTCACGGTGAATGGGTGTGAGTCACTTGACACGCTATCTTTCACTCGGTGAAGTCTATTGACTGTTATCCGGTCTAGATTCTAGAAGGGGGCAAAACAGTCCCAAAAAAGGTGTATCAAAATAATTTTTATTTTTATTTTTGTATGAAATTAACATTGTAAATATTTGTTGATTAATTGTATGATCATTTATATTTATTGCTTGTATTGTATTTCGGTTCGGAAAATGATAAGATTACCATCCAATTAGCTTGATTAGGTTTGATTTGTTTAGATTTTTGATATTTTTTTTTCATTTGTTTTTTTCATTGGTAATAATAAAAGCATTTAAGTCCCACCATCCATCTACTTTGGGAGGTATATGATACCACTAGGCCTCCCTGGTAAACTTAAGACTTGTCTCTAGCAAATTCTCGGTACAACTGTTTAGAGATTCAAAAAATAATGTGAAGACTTAAATGATGAACGTGTTTTTGGTGGGGCTGTAGTATGTATGCGTCAAATAAATTATTAAATGGTTTAGGCTCATAGACCAATTAAATTCAGAAGTCTTTGGTCCACCAAATAATCATGGACTTGGACTATCTCTAATAATTTGTCGTAATAAAATTTTATTTCAAGTATTTTTTCTCGAGATTAAAAAAAAAAAAAATGATTACAAACATTCCAAAGTTTAAAATTTAAGAAAGTTTTATAGGGGCAAAGAAGTGAGTTTATTTTTTATTATCAATAAATATAATTATATTTATAAAAATCATATGAGAGTCCTAAGTTATTAGTGAGTAGATTCATTCTTCGGCTCTCCATTTGAAAAAAAAAAAAACACATATATACAATATTTGAGGGTACTCGAATGTGATACTTCCGAAAAAAAAAGACAGTAATATAAATTGTAATTTCAGAAGTCATTCTCAATTAAAAGAAATTCATATAAATGTCAATTTGTTTTGATATATGAAAAATGAAGATTTGAAAAAAAAGAAAAAAAAAAAAGAAAGAAAAAAAAAAAGAAAAGAAAAAGAAAAAAGTACAATTTAGTACTAGTAACCAAGTACTAACTTGTATCAAATTGGGAGAGATTTTTTTTTTCCCCTCAAAATACTTTCTGATCAAATCCATCATGAACACTAAATATGAAAATCATTTTGGCATTGTTGAGTGTGAAAAGAAGATGTGATTGCAGACGAAATTGAAAAAGCTCTATGGTTACTTTAAGCAATCGATTATTTGTGTACATGTTTTTAATAATATGTCACGTTTTTGACGTTGTCTTCATTACTCACACGCACAATTAGCTTCATGGTCAACAAAATTTGTCAAACTGAACAAACATCAATGCTAAAGTAAATAAATACAAACGGTATAATATTAATTTTTGGTATCACGTTCGTTAAAAACTCACTTCTAAAAGCTGCCTCGGTCCCATGTGCTCTTTGCTAGTTGCATCTAGAGAGTGACATTATATAGTCCGTTGAGAGAAATTAATGTCACTTTGAATGCATAAAAAAATTGTAACTCTCAGATCGTGATTGGTGGGACAAATTGTGATGGATCCAAATCATATACAATTATTACGTGGTTTTGTGAAAAAAATAGTGGTTGAGAAGAATTAATATTGATTTGAATGTATAAAATTAACACGTTTATTTGCGTATCAAATTGTCATCAGGAGGAATCATATAGTAGATCATATAATGATGTCTCGTGCAATAAAAGTTTAGAAATTATTGTATGGTCCCAGCAAATCACAAGTCGATATACAAATAAATATGATAACTTTAATTCAATTTTTTACTTACAGGTCGAATTATGGTTGACTGAAATCATGTAATTCCGAACTATATAATAAATTTTTTGTCTATAAGACTTTGCTCACTTGTAAGTTAGGACTATGTAAATATACAATTTGTTTTGCCAGAGCAATAAGTTTAGTTGTTACACCTAAGGAGGTTGAGAAATGAACAAGATAACTTGTATGGTTGTTTGATTTTGCTGTAAAAAATGTAAGTAGTAACCATTAAGTTTGACTAATAAATCTAATTTCAGGACTTTTAGGCTTTGATAGTTGCCCTCAAAAATCATATTTGCCACAAACTATGATATAATAATCTAATACTCACAAAATTGAAATCATGAAATTTCTTAAGAAAAAAAATTCAACATTGTGCTTGAAAACATGGAGTCAACATTTTTGAATTGAAATTGGAGAGAGTTCTATTGCACCAATAAACGTTTTTCAAGTTTAAGATACCAGTTTCATACTGCTAACATAATTAAAAGTATTTTTTTTGGTGTTTACACTGTGAAAGTCGTGATTATTCAAAGTGAAATTGTGGAAATAAATAAAAAATAAAAAAAGAAAGAAAACATTGTCTTTAATTTTAATTTAGTGAATTCAAAGGAAAAAAGTTCTTCCATGTTTCCTCTTATGCTCCGTTTGGTAGGAAAGAAATAAGAGGTGTGGAAGGAAAATAGAAACCACCCCGATTAATAATTAATCTATAAATTAAGCTCATTTTTAAGATTTATTTATCAAACAAACCAAGTTGTTGAACTTGACTCTTGGAGATGTGTTAAAAGTTTTTTGTTCTTTACTTGGAGAAGTTTTGTATTTGTTTATTGACAAGAAAATTCATAAAAGATAATGAACATACATAAAATATAATAAATAAATATAAATAAGAAAATATGTCTTTGAATCTCAAAAGTGGATTGAGCCCGCTCTTAAACAACTTGAACATGTCTTCAACTTGGCCTTTGTAGACTTTTCACTAATCTAAACCAATTATGAAGTGAGCCCATAAACAACAATCCTTTCAAAAAACCCAAATTTCAAAAAAGTGGACATTGCTTAATTTGGTCTGGTGTAGGTGCGAACTGTATTTGTTGCGTTTGGAAATATCAAATTGATATATATTTTTTTAATTATTTTTTTTCTAATTTCGAATTAAATAACTGATACTTACATTACTTTTAAACTTAACATTTTGGCACTTTTTAAAATCATAGGAATACCAATTTTTAACTACATCAATTCAATTCACATGCATAGGTTTTCAAATTATATTATGATCGGATCTCTAATCATTATATTTTAATCCCATGTGGTTTTAGTGAAAGTGAAAAGGAAATAATAAATTGCTTGTGTCCCATGAACTCATTTTTTTAATATATGAGACAAGGGCATGCAAAATATTTAATTCAAATCTATGGGGCTCTTTCGAGAAAAACAAAAAAGTTAGCTCCTCAAATACTTATAATAGGAAAAATTACAATGAGATAGTCTCAAATTGCTCATGCCTTCCAACTATTAAATCAAAAGAATGTCTGTCATTGTATTAGTGTCATGATCCAATGAATTGTAGGTGCAAATTCTGTTAAAACGTCCATCTCACTGAAATTCATGAGAATATTACTATTATTATTATTTTGTTAACAGGCAGAAATTATTAGGACCCTCAACAATTTGATTAATCTCTGAGGATTCGAAAGGGCGCCTCCCTATCCGGGTCGGGTAAGTTATTGCAAAAACAACAGAAGTTAGCTACAAAGAATTCGTAACGGGACTCGAACCTCATACCTTAAACTTGTTAAGCTCCAAAGTCCAACGAGTACGATTAACTATATCCACAGTGGGTTGAAAAAATTATCTTTGTTTTACATTCAAATCACCTTTTTTTTTTTTTTTTCCTTTCCCTTATGCGAAATGAAGGAAAATTACTATTTAAAGCTAAAACTTTAACCAAGAAGCCTAGTTGGGAGACTTTCTACCCCTTAATAAAATGAATATAATAAAAAAAGTTATAGAGGTCAGGTAGGGGACGTCAATTTAACCCCTGACATTCTATCCTTAATGGGACATATTTGGGATGTTAGGGACCGGATTTAAAAAGACAGCTTAAAATCTTCAAAGTTTTGAATCGCGCTGATTAATAATTAATATATAAATAAATATTATTTTATTAGTTAAAATTTGTATTTTTCCTTTATATTTTTTTAATGATAATTTTAAATTTTAATAACATTTTTGTTATTATGATTATTAAATATTTCTTTTATACTACCAAAAAAAATTACAAAATTTATCTTGCATTTATTAAGTCTGAATTGTTTTTTCTTAAAAAATATGTATATCGGCCGGCGATGCAGGTGCCTAGAATTGGGTTTGAGAAAATATTTTTTTTGGTGGAACGAGTTTGGGAAAGAGGCGTCCCGTTCCGAACCCACTTTGTTAACATTCCTAATAATAGATTATTCACTGGATGATAAATTAAATCTAATTTTATTAGATGTCTTTATGTTAGAATCCTCTATTTTCCTATCCAATTCCTATTCCTCTACTCGAGTTCGAATATGCTAGAGCCATGACTTGAGGGGAGGAATAAGAACTAAATATGAGAAAAAAAGGAATTTTTATTGAAGAAATCTAATGAAACCGACTTCTTTTTGTGATTGATAAAAATTATTTGACTAGACTTCTTCATTAGAGTTGTAGGTTTAAGCAACGCAAGTGGTTTAAGTTCTTATGACCTAGTTTTTCTGATTCTATAATTCATTAGAAAACTTTATCAAGGGATAGAAATTTCTGTACTAGCTTCTTCGGTGGAATTTTAGGTTTAAATATCACTTCTTTAACACCAAAATTTTTTTTTGGTTAAATATACAAAATTTTTTGTTCTTACAACATTTGTGTTAAAACTTGGTGCACGTTTTTTAGGTGTGAATAATCAATTTTATGTACTTTTGACCATATCTGACCAGCGCTATTGGAAATTGTTGGTGACGGTGTGCACATGTCTTCTTTTATAGTGGGTTAAGCATTTGATGCTTTATGTTTCACAGTCTCTTCTTTTTTATTGTGGTTGTGGAGACCACTCTCTGTACTATCCTTTCACTGAGACGTAAAAAGCCTAAAAGTGATGGAGCTTTCTATGACATCAAGATCATTCCGACCATCAGAGCTCTCTTTGTTTCGCCGGAAATGTGACGCACACACCATTCTCCGGCGAAACCTCAGAACAAGACCGAATGTTTCGCTCCCAAGAACCCACCTAGCGATCACCGCCCACAAAAAGTCGAGAATCGAAGGCGTGAGCGATGAGTTGAATGCGATCGCGTCTCAGAACTTGGATTTCGCGCCAGCTCGCAGAAGGGTTCGATTGGCTTTCACTGAAATTCAACAGCAGCTTGATCACTGCTTGTTTAAGGTTGGTCAAGTGTAATTTTCACTGTTGCTTTTACTATTTAAAAAAAAAAAACCCACCAACATTATTATACTTCTTGAGTTACTGATTTTTAATTTTCATGTGTTTTTGTTTCTGTGAATTGTTGGGGTAGATGGCTCCTCCTGGGATCAGAACAGAGGAGGTAAGCTATGCTGCTTCTTGTAATTTATATATGTGTATATATAACATATATTTATGTATATAATTATATATGAGTTGGAAACAACTTACATCTGATTTTTATACCCCTCAATAACTTTTTTCTGGAGGACTTATGGGTTGTCAACCTCATTATTGAATTTTCTTGTCCTCTAATGCTTGTCATGCATGCCATGTAGTTGATTAGAAGTGGTTACCTGAGCAACAAAATCAAATTTTTTTTCAACAAAAAATTATAGTAAGTTTCCAATTTAAAGTTGGCTTGGATGAGAGAGCAGTAAATTTTCTAGAACCTTGATATTCAAAAAGATACTGAGTGGTGAAAATTCCTTGATTGCTGAGAAAATGTCAAGTTTGTGCTAATTTTCCTTTCTTTTCTTAGCAACCAACTAGAGCTACATTTTACAATTAATTTACTTGAATTGTCAAAAATCTGATAATTGTCTTCATGGATTTCTTAGTGGTATGAAAGAAATTCAAAGGGTGTGGAAATTTTCTGTAAAAGTTGGTTGCCGAAAGCTGGTGATCGAATCAAGGGTGCTGTGTGTTTTTGTCATGGATATGGTGATACTTGCACTTTCTTCTTTGAAGGTTTGTGATTACATCTTTTTCAAAATGTTGTACTTGACAACAAGTGGGAGAACCATGTGTGATGTATTAAGAATTCGGAGTTTCAGGTATTGCCAAACAAATTGCTGCTTCCGGGTATGGTGTTTATGGTATTGATCACCCAGGTTTCGGTCTTTCTGAAGGATTGCATGGCTACATTCCCAACTTTGATTACATAGTTGACAATGTAATTGAACAATATACAAAAATCAAAGGTCAGCCTTTTATCATAATATCTCAATCATTATGTATCGCAACTTCATCTTGAATGGATAGGCCGGTCAGTTTCCCTTTTCATCTCCAGAAAACTGACCTTCATTCTTGTAAAATTTTGATGTACTCTGCCAATTCATTCACAATGAGCATTTGAAATGACACCAAATTGACGAATTTTATTTTCCTTCTTGTAATATTTCATTGTTAATGTTATATAGGTTGAACTTGTCAATTTAGTGTACAATCTGCCGCTAAATGTTTCTAGTGTGATTGGCAGGAAGGCCAGAAGTGAGAGGGTTGCCGCACTTTATATTGGGACAGTCGATGGGAGGAGCAGTTACCCTAAAAGTTCATCTAAAGGAACCACGTGAATGGGATGGAGTAATACTTGTAGCTCCAATGTGTAAAGTAAGACCATCTTTGCTCATACTGATTGATGTTTTATTATATGATGCATTATAATTTAAACTGTTCAACTTATTGAAATTTAGTGAGGAACATTTCAAAGGTTTTGTGTTCTGATGAGATTATACGGGCCAATGTGTTTCAATTCCCAGCCAATCTAGAAATTCCTGAAAATTTCAAGTTTCAGCTCATTCCTGGTCAAATGTTCTGAAATTTGAATGAATATGATGATATATTTATTCTCTATTACTTTGAAATTTGATGCATTCCAATCTTTGATATAGTTTGGGCTCACTGGAGTTAAACAGTTATGAATTATGAGATTTTCAACCCTTGAAATTGATGCATTCCTATCTTTGGTAAAGTTGGGGCTCACTAGAGTCAAACAGTTTTCTTTTTCCATTCCAATGTACATAGGACAGATATGTATAAACTCTTAAGGTCTTTTGGAGTTGTCAATCCATTTCCTTCTTCGTTCTGCTTGTCCTTGGAAAGCTAACATTTTGAAAAGTTTTAACACTACCTACTTATTGTTGCAATAAGGGCTTCTAATTTAGTATGATATTTTAAACCAATGGTAATTTCACTTCTTTTTTGAAGTTTGGTGTCATAGGTCTTAATCATTTCAGTAGCAATGACAAGCTGATAATGTATTGCTTACCCTTCCGATTTTTTTTTATTTCTTTTAATTATTGGTTTGGACACCCTGCGAGAGAATTTACCGATCATGGGGAACAAATAAGTACTGTCTTTCATAATGTTCACTGATCTATACGTTTGTTGTTGAATGATGTTATATAGTGTGCTTCCTCATCTTTAATCATGACCTGTTTTTCTGTCTTGATCTGATCACATCACGTGTTATCACGAAATTGCACGGTCAAACTTTTTATGGCGATGATAAACTGTTTGTCTTAAACAAGAATGTGCTGACATTGAGTTGCTGCCAAGATTGCAGAGGACGTGACACCTCCGGAAGCAGTTGTAAAGGTCATAACTCTTTTGTCTAGAGTAATTCCGAAAGCAAAACTTGTCCCCCAGAAAGATCTAGCGGAGCTGGCATTCAGAGTGCTAAAGAAAAGAGAAATGGTTTGTTCTTTATCTTCTCTCTTGATGTGAATACAATTATATATCACTTATGATTGCAAGTAAAACTGGTGCTTCACTCAATTGTTATGAAAAGTTGCTTTGACATTTCGTGGCATGATGGGCCTATGTTGTGCTAGATCTTTTAAGAGAATGGATTGTTAAAACCGTAAACCTTAAACAGTAAATAAAGGAAGTGCAAAACATGAAGGTGCCTGCCAGTTGGTTTTGTCAATAATGGGCTAGCTTGGAATAGACAGTGACTATGCTTCAAATTTTTTCCTTCCATTAAGGGACTTGTCACCTATTGCCACTGGCGGAGTTCCCCATTTGACTTGCATTAGAGGTTAGGACTTCAAGCCTCGGTAAAGTATTTTAGGATGCTATGAAATAAGATTGTCCTAGAGTTTTTATGAGATACCAATATATATGAGAAAAATAAGGTTGTACGCAAGTACTTATGAGATATATATAAATACAGACATATATATTTGATAAGTAAATAAAGAATGCTAATAATTTGCTATTACATTGTGGGGCTGCTTAGGATTTGTGCAAGCTTCTTTGTCTTTATTTGGGGTTGACTGGATCGTGCCAATGAGAGTAGGCAACTTGTTGGAGGATTGGAGGATAAGGTCAAAAACGCTTAATAAGTTGTAAATATGACTTCCAATATTGCCGAACAAATGAAAAAGGTCACTTCCACAAGGACCTTGTTTACCCAAATACCTTTCCAGGTTAAGGCAGAACAGCCTTCTCCTGGTGAGTTCTTGTAGGTAACCTTGGAAAGTACTTGAGTACTTGATATTCTTTAGATTCCTCCACCTTATCACATCACGTGTCTCCCCTCACACCGCACAGCATTCTAGTAGAGACCACAACAATTCCATCTCCCAGTCATGTAACAACCTCACTCCCCAACAAGCTGATATAATTCATGAAATTCCACCGCAATCCTTAATAAGTCCAACCATGCAGGTATTCCATCCTGAGTGGCTCATTACAATACACACACACACACACATGTAGGTACTTTCATTTATATTTTTTGTTTAACACATGAACCTATATGTCACCAAAACACACATGGGCCTTGGGTTTGTATCAAGACTCTGCATTTTCCATTTTTGTATTCAAGTTGTACATTTAGTGAGGCTAAAGTCATTATTAGGCCTGTAAAAGTTCTTTTTGGAGCAATTAACATTGATTCTTTTAGTTAATTGTTATTATTATTATTTTTTTATTTTTTACATTTGTGAGAAATATTATTTTCAAATTTTACATTGAGTCTTTTATTTAGTTTCTAAAGGATCTCACCACTCACTACGGCGTGGAGCCTCATGGACTCAAATAAAGTTAGTTGACCTGAAAGAAAATCTAAAAGGATGGGGCCTTTTCATTGATATGAAAGAGGTTAGGGGTTTTCTGTAATTGATCCTGCTAACCCTTGGAAAATAAATTATGAAGTCAAGATCCAATATTAGAAACTAGAAATTCAGAAAAATAAATTAAGCTTAAAATTGATTAGGGCTCACCAACCGTTCCAATACTCTAATGTGTGTGTGTGTTTGTGTGTGTGCGTGAGATAGAGAGAGAGAGAGTCAGGGAATGGAGAGGGAGGAGAGGGCCTCTGGTGTTGCTTGGAGAGTCCAACTTCTTTTAGTGAACATTTTTCGTTGAAGAGTTGTCCCTAAACATAAGTTCATTGAACTGATTTATTTTTATTTAATTTTTTAATTGTTGGATAAAAAGTTATTCTTTTTATTGAATCATTTTATTATTTCATTTATTGAATTAGTTTAATGATTTGTTGTTTTACTTTCCAGAGTTTGTTTCTTTATGTTTACTTTCAGTGTGTTTATGTTATGATTTCTATGCCTGGTTTAAAATTTGCATTAGATTAATTTTGTGATTTAGGGTTTTGTTGTTTGATGATATCATTATATTTTATAGATTTACAAAAATATAGTCTAACCAGTCATTGACTGAACTGTGAAAGAACAATCTTGGCTCCACCATTGACTATTTGAAAAACAATATGTTAGGTATTCAGAATCAACTACTAACAACATTTCAATTATTTGATGAGTATTATGTAACTTTTTGGATAGTTGTTGAACTGAACCTGAATGGCCTACCTAAAAATATGTTAGGATGTTATAAGTCATTAATGTTTGTGTTTTGTACTTGTGGAGGAAATCCAACTTTAGCTTCTGTATGATGAGTCTGGGATCTTCTTTTCAGATTCTGTGTAGACTGGTCGAAGATAGAGCTTCTGCTTCAAGTCAGTGTAAACACTGAAGATAATATTAACTTACAGTTAGAAAAGAAGGAAATTAAACAGCACAACTATTGTTCCATACAGTGTGAACGGGAGAGACTAAATTAGACTAGTGCACATTGCAGCGTGGGATTATCAGTACCTCTAACTGAAATAGTTGGAACCTAATACTCACATTTGTCATCTAGTGGATCCCTGATAGCTGATAGAGGGACCTTTCGACTTCTTTCTTCTTTGTTAAAAGAGTTCTGGTCCAGTGCAATTTATAGGTTCTCGGCATTCTGCTGTTGCTAAATCCGTATTAAAAGTATTCTTTAAATATGTCAAAAAATTAATTCATTTTCAAAGTTGATCGAAATCCTTTAAATCTTTATGGTTCTGAATTACCATCCATGTGTTCTACATAAGTAACACTTTTGCAAATATAAGATCAACATTTGGAATGTGGGAAAACTGAGAAGGCAGAGCCAATTGGCAACAATGGATGCACGTAATCTACCCCAACTACTTGGAATTAAGGCTTGGTGAGTCGAATTGATTTGAGTTACAAAATGTGATGAGCCAATAAAATTCCCGATAGGGTATTCTATAACTTATCATTTAAGAAATAAAGGTCAAGATATCAAACCTAGTTTCTATGTATTTAAACTGAAATAAAATTTGAATTGTTGTTGAATGGAGATGGAACAATTTCATTTGAGAGGAAAAGATGCAGGCGCACACATACTATTTTGTAAAGAGAAGTTACAAATGTCCAGGTGATATGGATGTTGTTCTAAAGGGTCATTGCTTTGTGCAATGGTAAAAATTTGGAAAGCTAACTGTAACAACTCTATGATCAGATATGATACATAACATTTGGACTGTTCCTGGCCCTCATGGCCTATAGTTGACTAATCTAACTTTTTAATATTATTACATCATAGCCAGTAGCCAAGTACACAAGTACAGATCTGATCTGTCTGTCCACTAACTCCTTCCCAAGGATCTGAAATAGGAGGTTAGAGCAATCAGATTTAAGCAAATATATGACAGAATGATCTACTTACAGAACATTTCATACTATATATATTTATTTATTGTTTTTATTTTATTTTATCTTGCCAAGAAACTCACTCACACCCCCACTTTGTCCCTTAGGGGACTTGAACCCTCGACCTTCTGCTTTGAAAGGTACAGAACTACCACTAGGCTACAGCCCTTGGGGCCAAAATTCATATACTATATAAAAGTGCCAGAATCTCAAAAAGGATTCCGAAGCTTGTACACATAAATCTAACACTATCGTAATCTTGATCCCATTGTCTGGATAAGCAATAAAAGCCGATTCAATTATGAGCTTTGGATTCCTTCCAGATTTACCAAGCTCGATTTTTAGTTTTGTATAATTTAGACAGCAGGAAGAAAGGTTGATAAGAGTGCCAGGACATTGACCGAGGTCATGGGCGGAATTATGAGCAAAAAAAATGAATTTGACAGACCAATGTTACGGCAATGCAAAGTAGATTCCTCCCAGATGAGTGCAAAACTTCGATAGAATGAAACAAATGATAAAATGTTCAATAAATACAAGCTTCCTAGTTGCCTTTTGAACTTCTAGTATCTTTTATTTTATTTTGTTTACTTCTTTGGAGTAGAGATTCATGAAAAGTTGAAAACTATCACTATCTTTTGCTTCCATTGTTTTTAGGCTCCTTACAACGTGATTTGTTACAACGATCCAACGCGATTGAAGACTGCTGTGGAGCTTTTGAAGGCTACGAAAGATATTGAATCACAGGTGGAGAAGGTCAGTTCACACTTGTGTTTGTGGACATAATAACCATTGTTATTCTCTTCCATTGATATTTACTGAAACCAGCCAAATATTTACATGTTATGTTGAAAGAAGTAAACATTTCCAGAGATATTGCAGGTTTCAGCTCCATTGCTAATTCTCCATGGAGCTGCCGATAAATTGACAGATCCTTTGGTAAGCCAATTTCTTTATGAGAAGGCTTCCAGCAAGGACAAGACCTTAAAGCTCTACGAAGAAGGTTATCACTGCATTCTTGAAGGGGAACCTGATGACAGAATATTTAATGTACTGAACGACATTACCACGTGGCTCGACTCTCGGTGCTCCCTTAAGTAGGACTTAACCCTGCATTTTTGTGCCTTCCTCAAATTAGTTGTTGTAATATGTTTTGTGAAGATTGATGTCTCAGTCAGTTCATTTTAGTTTAGAAGTCTCCAATAGAAACATGATAGAAACTTTCTTCTTTTAGTGTTGTATCTTATGTGTACCTTTTTCCTTCTCTGAATTATTAGATAATTTTTTTTTTTTTTTTTCTTATTTTAAACTCACACATCCATTTTCCTCCAATGGGCACTTGAACCCTCCCCCATTTTACGTAGAAGGTGAGAACTTGATGATGATCAATGCCATACAGCCCTCCCAATTTCTTGTGACAGGATAAGATGTTACCCTCTGTCATATTTATGTTTTCATTCATAAAAAATGATATGTCAACTAAGAAATGTTTTGCATGAACAAAGATAACAATGAAATTCTTTTAATTGTGAACTAAGAACTTGTAACTAGAAAACAATGATATGTGATACTCGGGTCATGTACTTCTTAATATTTGTGTTTTGGAGTTTCTGATTCCTTGACTGTATAATTTTTCTATGGGAAATGAATGATTATGATCACACATTAGCTAAGTTTGCTTTACAATGTAGAGTTAGCATGTATTTTTCAAATTCCTTCCCACTGGGAAAATGAACAACTTGATTGTTTTTAATTTTGTTTGTTGAATAAAATCATTCTTGATGAATTTTCTTAGTTTATAAAACTATTTTCAAAATATCATACAACCAAGTAGTTTTATTAGTTTTTGTTTTTCAGAAACTATTTTGTAAATTCTTTTAACAAGGTAAGTTTAAAATTTAAAAACTGTAAATTCTCGTGTGTGTGTGTGTGTGTGTGATATATACACACGTGGGGTTTTTGACAAGAATAACCCCACATAAGTAACTCTTTACTTGAACTCAAATAAGAAAGGGAAAGAAAAATGAGGAGTGATAGGTGATTTTGATGTTTTGTAGGAAAAATTATGAAAAAAAAAAAAAGAGATTAATTAAGTTAAGCAAGGCAGGAGATTAAGCTAAGGTTATAAATTAATCAATCTTTTTTCTTTTCTTCTTCTTTTTTTTCTTTTTTTTCTTTTTTTTTTTTTTTTCGATCTTAATTAATCAATAGAGTAAGGTCTCAACTCTGAACTTGCCCTCTCTCTGTCTCTGCAACTGCAAACTACAAAACCTACAAGAATCAGATCAGCCTCCCAAATCGCCTCCATCTCTATTCTCGTTCTCAACTCTGAACTTGCCCTCTCTCTGTCTTTGCAACTACAAACTTCAAAATCTACATTTCAAATTGTTCAAAAAATCAAAACCCATATCAGCATATCATTTCAGATTGTTCAAAAAATCAAAACCCATATCTTTCAGTTTCCGTCGCCCGCTGTTCCAGTTCGGGCTCGCCGTTCGCAAGCTCCAGCCGCTGTTCGCAAGCTCCAGTGCGCAAGCTTCAGCCGCTGAATCGACAATGGACATCGACATCGCTCGTTGGGTTCTCGAATTCCTCTTTCGGCAGTCCATCGGCGATTGCTTACTGAATACTCTCGTTGGAGCCCTTCCTCTGTCCAACGACCATCCGAGTTTGAAGAAGACAATCCTTGTGCGAAGGATCGAGTCGGAGATCAAAAGCGTTTCGGTCTCGGAAAAAGTTCTCGAATTGCTCGAACTCATCGAACAGCTGGACTACGAAGAGGGAATTGCGGCTTCAGAGGCCATGAAAGCTGCATACTGCGCGGTGGCGGTGGACTGCACGGCGAGGTTTCTCGACCTGGCCTGGTCAGTACCTAGCCGGGCCCTTTTTCCATTTTTATATTATATAAAATCAAAGTGCTATTTCTTATTATACTTTCTTCCTTTTTTTATTTACTTTCTTTTTTACTTCACTGAAATAAAGAAAAAGTGGAAATTGTGGATTCTTACACAATGTATTTTTATGTTAGGATTTCCGCAGACGGCAACAAGGACGAAGGGTGGGACTATTTTCATGCAGTCAAGAGAATCTGGAGGGATAGGTTCGGCGAGATAGAGAAATGGGAGAATATAGGGTTTGTGTCGGATGAACTTCGGAATTGGAGGGATAAGCTCGAAGCTGCAATTTGGGATGTGAGTGTTCGTGAAAATCTGCGAAAGAGGAAGGAAGGGAACGATGCTGTGGAGGCTGTTCGAGTTTATGTCGCAGAAGTCTGGGAAAGCATGGGTCCTTCATTTCTTGAACTGGTTGCCCAAACAATGGGTTATGAAACACTGAAGGTGCTGGGCATGAACAAAGTTTGGGAGAGAGTGACAAGTTTGACAGATGCAGGTGAGAAAGCTAATCTCATTTATATAAACTTATTTATTCAAAATTGTAACTGTTTTAGGGGTTTGCATTTTACACCATCAACTTGTAAGATTATTGATAAATAATTCATTTGAGTCACACATAACATTATGTATGGCTGTGTTATGGCCTAGGTTGAATTCGTTATAGTCATTTATATATTTAAGAATCTCTTGAACTTCAATTATCTGTTGGATATATTATGTACAAAAATTAACCAAAAAGACCAAATAACTACTACAAAAAACCAAATAATTATCTATGAGACTAAAATTCATATATTATCGATTGGTAGCTTGACCATCGTATACCCAATTAACTTGAAATTAATCAATCAATTACTCCCTCTGTCCCAAAATAGTTGGGCGCTTTGGGAACTGTGACTCACGCCCAACTATTTTGGGACGGAGGGAGTAGTTATTTAAAGAAGCTTGTTCTATTTTATCAAACTTCCGTAACAAACACAAAAAAACAGACAGTACGACAGTGAAGCCAAAATTTTAAAAACTTTTAACCCTAAAGTAAAGTGAATATATTATCTATTATTGCAATTGGGCTTAGTATGATATAATATTCAAAGGTTTAAGAAAAGAGAAAAAGTATAAGAAAGTTGTGTATTTTTAATAGGAAGTTAGAAACCAATTATAGTTAGAAAATATTATGGGAGGCCAAGTTTGTATTTATCTATACTATTTTTCATTTTAGGTAATACTAATAAAAGTTAATAAAAATTTTGGGGGGGCCATGGCCCCTGCTGGCCTACCCCTCCCTCCACCCCTGACTCTTTCTCTGTCTTATTATTTGGTTACCTGTGGGTTTTACTCTTTCATTGATCATTATATATTGCAAGCAAAGTAAAATGCCATGTTCTTTGAAGGTTCATGCTTTTCTGTTTTATGCTCGTGTCAGTCTGTTATGATGTCAAAGCAATCAATTTTCTGGCATATAATGGTTAATTGTACGTCTTTACATAACAAGATTGTGGCCACAGTAATTGTGCTCCTGTGATTATTTTATTGGTAGAGTTTTATTTTACCAGGCTTCTTTCTAGAATTTATGAGTTTTGCATTTATATTTCTGAATTGAGGGTTCTTGTTCACTTTTCAGAAATGCAGAAGCGTAACACGCTTCATAAACACAAGAATCCCACTGGTCGATGCTGTAGAGGACCAATCTCGAAAACAGCTAGAGGAGTTCATATTACTGATAATGTGGAATCAGACTCAGGGACGACATACAACAAATATGACTGCCCCCCTACCATTATGGTTAATAAGATACAAGAAGAGCTTAGATCCAGTTCTTTGCAGCTACAAGCTATGGTGAAAGACCCTCTTCCTGATGCATTAAAGCTTGCTGAAGCTATAATAATGCAAAGAGGAAAGATGAACCACGAGCCTATGGCAGAAAATCAGAATAAGTTTGATGTACATGCTGTGAATACCTCTGTTGACAAGAGTGCTGAAGTTGTTGAGGCCAATGAAGGTAACATTGGGAATCAGTGTTGCAGCCATCAGAATGAGGTTGCCTAGGCCCAGCTTAATGGCACGGAATGGTACTGCCTGCACTTATGAGGTAATGTTTTCCTGTTTTTGGTCTTTTTCTTCTAAATTTGTTTCAAGTCTAATGGTAAGTGGATCTATGAGAGAAAGAGAGGGAAATTTCCTTTGTTTTGGAATCTAGTCTACTCATATGTTTCATCCTTCCACATGTTCAATTTGTTATGGAATCTAGTCTACTCATATGCTGTAACCATACTTCTCATTTTTACACAGTTATTTCCCGATTATTGTCACACCGATATCGTCTTACCAATATCAGAACCACCGTGGGGAAATTTTGGGAATTCCTTATGGTAACTAGCATGGTTCTTTATCGAAAGTAACAAGACAGTGTTTTCAATCATTAAGCATTACTTATCGCATTATCATCCTTTCAAAACAACATAATAGCTTAGAACTCCATGTTACAATTTCTCGATACCTTTGTTATGAGCTTTACTCAATTTCAAAATGTCTCTGTCACAATAGCTGACAGCTAGCATTAGATTTAGTATGGACTCACTTGACTCAACACACTAACGTATCCACATATAAAGGTAGTACTCCGTAGTAGCTATTAATCAAGACAACGTCATTAGGGACAGGCTGATATTGGTGGATAAGATCCTTTCTATCTGATGTTTATGGTTTATTTGGTAGATTGTCTCGAATATTAGGCCTGCTATATATTTCTCATGGCCATTTGTGCAACAATGATTATGAAATTGTGTATTTCAAGATTTTAGTAATAAGTAGGTAGAATTTTTTTTTCTCCGAAAGGTAATAAGTAGATATAACTTGCCAAAATATGAAGTGTAAACAACATCCTGATGGCGGACAAAGCCTACAAAAGGGTAATTAAAGTACCCATGGTGATACTTGACATCTGATCTGATATGGTCTCCAATTTTCTAATACTTTTAGGAAGTTATATTGAAATATGTTGCATACATCTATGAATGAAAAGATAATCCGGTGAATTTTCCCTTGGGTAAAAAATCAACAATAACTGCTTGAACTAAACCTATGACACAGTGCACAAAAAATAAAAATAGAAATAGAAAATAGAAAATAGTTGTGTTGCACTTTCATGGCTGGGAATTTTGTTGGATCAGCTTTAATTTCAAGGATGTAGCGATTGCTGGGCATATTATCTCCTTTAAAAGGTTGCAGTTGTGTTAATTTATATAATATCGGAAATAAATATATATTAACACACAAGTTTTTTATTTTTGCAGTGGGATGATTCTATTGACAATTTATCTGAAGGGTCACCTGATGGTCAGAATAGAGTTCACTTACCCAGCCCAAAGAGAAGGATTGTTTCTCCTTTGAAGAAGTATGAAATGCCAAAATTATCGAAGAGGAGAAAAGCTAAGAAATGGAGTCTAGTAGAAGAAGACACATTGAGGACTGGTGTGGTGAAGTATGTGACTTACTTTTGTAAAAAAATTCTAGTAATGTTATTTTTTATTTTTTTTTTTGAGTATGTTAATTTTGACACTCATTTGAGTATATGTTGTTTTTGAAGGTATGGTGTAGGAAACTGGGCGATCATCTTAAAGTCCTATCCTGATGAATTTGAAGAGAGGACAGAGGTATAGAATTCCCTGTTTCTAACATTTGTGTTTTTTTTTTTTTTGGTATTGAAATCCCTATATTTGATTCAACATTTGTTTTTTATTGTACTAATACAGAGGTTATTTTGTTCAGGTTGATTTGAAAGACAAGTGGAGGAACATGACTCGTTATTGACTCCTCTAATCATAGTCTCTAGCGTTTTGTATCTTTTTGTCTATGCTAAATTCGTATGTTGACATATTTGAAGAGCGGACTGAGGTAAAAATTTTGCATGGTTTGCTTCAATAAATCATTTTTTTCCTGTATAATAATATGAGAAGTTATTTTGTTCAGGTTGATTTGAAAGAGAAATGGAGAAACATGACTGGGTATTGGCTCTTCTAATCATGGTTTGCGTTTTTTATTTATGGTCTGCAGCTTTTTATATGTTTTCTATATTTTTGTGTATAGGTTTGTTTCGCAATATCTCTTCTTTATCCCGCAACTCATTATGTATCAACAAGTTGTATAGATCTCAATGTCTTGACCAGTTCAGAACTTTGTATTTTGTCTCCTCTTTATGTGTACAACCTAATGATCTTCTACCTCATGACTCTTCTGATGAACTCTCTTTTAAATTAACATACTACTTTGGGGGAAAAAAAAATAATGCAATAATTAGAGGAATGCTTTCGCTTGGGCTCCCTCATTAGAAGGGTCATGAGTTCTTCATATTATTTAGGGCAAAGTGCAGAAAACACTCCTATAGTATGTTTACAGTGCGTCTCATACCCCACATGTGGAGAAAATACTCCTAAAGTTTCAATTTGTGCAAATAGGTTCAGTCCAAATTACCCTTTTACATATTATTTTTTAAAGAATTATTTTGTGAAATGACCATGAAGGACAATATTATTTTAGCTTCTTTTTTTATCAAAATAATATTTTAACATGAGCGCTGGGTCTGGTGCAGCACAAAACAGAGAGCTTTCGAGCATGGAGGTACGGCGACCCACAGTTGCTGGAAACAGTGACCATGGTCGTCTACCTTTGGTCAGGCGGGGTCGCTACTATCTGACTATGGTCAGGTGGTGACCCTTCTCTCTCTTTCTTTTGCTCCATTTTTGTTCCTTTTCAAAAAAAAATAAAAAAAAATTCATCCCCTACCTCGCCTCAAACCTCCATTGATGACCATAATCTTCAAACCACCTTTGGACCTCCATTGATGCTCAAAACAGCCTCAAAAAACTTACAAGCTCAATGAATTACAAAGATTCAAAAGAAATTGAATGAATTACTAGGAAATTGCAACAAACCTATATACTCAATCTAACAAAAACGGCCAAAAATTAGTCTGAATCCTTCTCTCTCGAAAAAAAAATAAAAAAAATAGAACAATGAATTAGTGAATATCATACTTTGTAATTGTCATTGTATTGAATATCCTCCTTTGTTTGGACTGCTACCTCGGGAAAAATTATAACATTGGATAATCTGCGTAAGAGAAGTAATACCATTGTTAATTGGTTCTGTCTCTGTAAAACTGATGGTGAGTCCGTGGTCCATCTTCTTATGCATTGTCCTGTTGCATCTGATTGTTGGAATCTCATTTTCAGTATTTTCAGCGTTCAGTGGGTAATGCTTAAGCACTCTTTCCAATTAATTAACGCTTGGAGAAGATGCCCTGTTACCGGTCATGCTTGTGATTTTTGGAAGGTCGCCTCACACTGTGTTTGGTAGTGTATTTGGAGAGAGAGAAATAACAGAAATTTTGTAGGAAAGGAATCGTCTTTTGCAAACCTTAAGTCTCTTATTCTTCGCTCTCTTTTCTGTTGGTTAGAGGCAGCACTTGCTCCTCGATTGATGATTTTTTTGTTCTGTTGGACTCTGTTGGTCCGTAGGTTTGGCTTTTGCTCTTTCGTTTTTGTGTATTAGGGATGCATTCCCCTTTTGAACGTTTTTCTAATATATTTTTTACTTATAAAAAAAAAAAGTATATTCCTTTCCATGACTGATACCTTAATCTTCTAAAAAAGGTGAAATGGACCTTTGAATAAGTATGGAAATCATGTGATGATTTGTCTATGAAAGTCCATGTCCTGCTTGTTGCCAAATATGTAAAAGCAGCGGTGGCTTCATGAAAGTTGACAAATGTTGTGTTCTGCAGGCTGTTTTAATAAAGAACCTTCTACATTTTTGTTTAATTTTGAAGAGGTTGAAATTTAATCAATGTCTGACCTTAAAACTGGCACTGACATCTTTTGTCCGTTTCATTTGGTGTTGCCGGAAAGTGGATTTTTATAGTCTCTTCCATTGTCTTGTTGAGTTGATTTTTGCTTCTTTGTTATATTTTTTGTTTACCACATGAACCTATATGTCACTGAAACACACATGGGCCTTGGGTTTGTATCTATTTTTTTTTTTTTTTCCTAGTTGGGGACTCACACACACTGCCTCAACTGAGGTTCGAACCCCTGACCTCCCTTTGGGAAGTAAGAGCCTTGTACCGCTAGGCCACAGGCCTGTTGGTCCTTGGGTTTGTATCTAGACTCTGCATTTTCCATTTTTGTATTCAAGTTCTACATTTAGTGAGGCTAAAGTCATTATTAGGCCTGTAAAAGTTCTTTTTGGAGCAATTAACATTTTTCTTTTAGTTAATTGTTATTATTGTTATTTTTTATTTTTTATATTTGTGAGAAATATTATTTTCAAATTTTACATTGAGTCTTTTATTTAGTTTCTAAAAGGATCTCACCATTCACTACGGCGCGGAGCCTCATGGACTCGAATAAAGTTAGTTGACCTGAAAGAAATCTAAAAGGATGGGGCCTTTTCATTGATATGAAAGAGGTTAGGGATTTTCTGTAATTGATCCTGCTAACACTTAGAAAATAAAGTTATGAAGTCAAGATCCAATATTAGAAACTAGAAATTCAGAAAAATAAATTAAGCTTAAAATCGATTAGGGTTCACCAACCGTTCCAATACTCTATCGCATGTGTGTGTTTGTATTTGTGCATGAGAGAGACAGAGAGAGAGAGTCGGGGAACGGAGGGGGAGGAGATGGCCTTTGGTGTTGCTTGGAGAGTCCAACTTCTTTTAGTGAACATTTTCCTTTGAAGAGTTATCCCTAAACAATAAGTTCATTGAACTGATTTATATTTATTTAATATTTTAATTGTTGGATAAAAAGTTAATTCTTTTTATTGAATCCTTTTATTATTTCATTTATTGAATTAGTTTAATGATTTGTTGTTTTACTTTCGTTTTACTTTCCAGAGTTTGTTTCTTTATGTTTACTTTCAGTGTTTATGTTATGACTTTATGCCTGGTTTAAAATTTGCATTAGATTAATTTTGTGATTTAGGGTTTTGTTGTTTGATGATATCATTATATTTTATAGATTTACAAAAATATAGTCTAATCAGTCATTGACTGAACGTGAAAGAATAATCTTGGCTCCGCCATTGGCTATTTGATAAACAATATGTTAGGTATTCAGAATCAACTACTAACAACATTTCAATTATTTGATGAGTATTCTGTAACTTTTTGGATAGTTGTTGAACTGAACCCGAATGGCCTACCTAAAAATATTTTAGGATGTTAGAAGTCATTAATGTTTGTGTTTTGTACTTGTGGAGGAAATCCAACTTTAGCTTCTGTCTGATGAGTCTGGGATCTTCTTTTCAGATTCTGTGTAGACTGGTCGAAGATAGAGCTTCTGCTTTAAGTCAGTGTAAACACTGAAGTTATTCCTGGACGTTAAGATAATATTAACTTACAGTTAGAAAAGAAGGAAATTAAACAGCACAACTATTGTTCCATACAGTGAACGGGAGAGACTAAATTAGACTAGTGCACATTGCAGCGTGGGATTATCAGTACCTCTAACTGAAATAGTTGGAACCTAATACTCACCTTTGTCATCTAGTGGATCCCTGATAGCTGATAGAGGGACCTTTCGACTTCTTTCTTCTTTGTTAAAAGAGTTCTGGTCCAGTGCAATTTATAAGTTCTCAGCATTCTGCTTTTTCTAAATTCGTATTAGAAGTATTCTTTAAACATGTCAAAAAATTAATTCATTTTCAAAGTTGAAATCCTATAAATCTTTATGGTTCTGAATTATCATCCATGTGTTCTACATAAGTATCACTTTTGCTAATATAAGATCAACATTTGGAATGTGGGAAAACTGAGAAGGCAGAGCCAATTGGCAACGATGGATGCACGTAATCTACGCCAACTACTTGGAATTAAGGCTTGGTGAGTCGAATTGATTTGAGTTACAAAATGTGATGAGCCAATAAAATTCCCGAAAGGGTATTCCATGACTTATCATTTAAGAAATAAAGGTCAAGATATCAAACCTAGTTTCTATGTATATAAACTGAAATAAAATTTGAATTGTTGTTGAATGGTGATGGAACAATTTCATTTGAGAGGAAAAGATGCAGGCACACATACTATTTTGAAAAGAAAAGTTACAAATGCCCACGTGATATGGATGTTGTTCTAAGCGTTCATTGCTTCGTGCAATGGTAAAATTTGGAAACCTAACTGTAACAACTCCTTGTCGAGGATCTGAAATAGGAGGTTAGAGCAATCATATTTAAGCAATATATGATAGAATGATCTACTTACAGAACATTTCATACGATATATTTTTATTTATTGTTTTTATTTCACTTTACCTTGACAAGAAATTCACTCACACCCCCACTTTGTCCCTTAGGGGACTTGAACCCTCGACCTTCTGCTTTGAAAGGTACGGAACTACCACTAGGCTACAGCCCTTGGGGCCAAAATTCATATACTATATAAAAGTGCCAGAATCTCAAAATGGATTCCGAAGCTTGTACACATAAATTAACACTACCGTAATTCTGATCCCATTGTCTGGATAAGAAATAAAAGCTGATTCAATTATGAGCTTTGGATTCCTTCCAGATTTACCAAGCTCGATTTTTAGTTTTGTATTATATAGACAGCAGGGAGAAAGGTTGATAAGAGTGCCAGGACATTGACCGAGGTCACGGGCGGAATTATGAGCAAAAAATGAATTTGACATACCTATATTACAGGCAATGCAAAGTAGATTCCTCCCAGATGAGTGCAAAACTTTGATAGAATGAAACAAATGATAAAATATTCAAAAAATACAAAGCTTCCTAGTTGCCTTTTGAACTTCTATTATCTTTTATTTTATTTTGTTTACTTCTTTGGAGTAGAGATTCATGAAAAGTTGAAAACTATCTTTTGCTTCCATTGTTTTTAGGCTCCTGACAACGTGATTTGTTACAACCATCCAACGTGATTGAAGACTGCTTTGGAGCTTGTGAAGGCTACGAAAGATATTGAATCACAGGTGGAGAAGGTCAGTTTACACTTGTGTTTGTGGACATAATAACCATTGTTATTCTCTATATGGAGCACTCTTCCATTGATATTTACTGAGACCAGCCAAAATTTACATGTTATGTTGAAAGAAGTATACATTTCCAGAGATATTGCAGGTTGCAGCTCCATTGCTAATTCTCCATGGAGCTGCCGATAAATTGACAGATCCTTTGGTAAGCCAATTTCTTTGTGAGAAGGCTTCCAGCAAGGACAAGACCTTAAAGCTCTACGAAGAAGGTTATCACTGCATTCTTGAAGGGGAACCTGATGACAGAATATTTACTGTACTGAACGACATTACCATGTGGCTCGACTCTCGGTGCTCCCTTAAGTAGGACTTAACCCTTCATTTTTGTGCCTTCCACAACTTAGTTGTTGCTGTAATATGTTTTTGTGAAGATTGATGTCTCAGTCGTTAATATTAAGCAGTGAAATTTGAGATGATGATGTACCTTGCTAAACTGATATTGTCCTACTGTTCATGACCTATTTGTTGTCTGTTATGCCACCAAATGCATCAGTGCTGGCATGAATGGACACAATTTTGTTTTTATCTCTTAAAGATCAAATCCACCTATCATTTAAAATTTAACAAATTTGTATGTGTATAATCTGATTGATTTGTGAACGCCGCCTTGGTAGACCAGCATTGGGTTGCTCCCCATTGTCTTTGGGAGTCTAGTTTCGAGCCTTTAAACCTCTAATTTTTATTCTAATTTAACATTCTTGAAAAAGAAATATATATATATACTGATTGATCTACCTCTTTATCCATTGGACCACCTTGAGGAAAATCTTTTGCTCTGTAGTATGCTTCAACTACATGGGCTGAGGGGGCCTAGCATGGGTTTATTATAAGGTCACTGTAAAACATTTTACAATTTGCATGGCATGAAATTCGTATAGGAATGAATTTGGAAAAAGTTTGAAATTCACACCAAAATATATATAACTAAAATCTATAAAGTGCAACACTATGGCATTTTATTTCATATTGATTGGGTCTAAAATTTATAAATTTATATAACTAATATTTTAATTTTAATTTTTTATGGTATAAAGAACACCTAAATTGTGTTTTTAAAAGTAGATAAAATAGAATAATGATAAGTATTCGAAAAGTCGGATACATGAGACTGTTTTATACTTTTGTATGATTGAAAGATGATGTTATCATGATCCCGATTCTTCCTCACATAAATTTAATCGGATGTTTTCGACCAAAAAAACAGTACCGCGGGGAGCCAATTTTGGATATATCCATCTACTTGTATCTGGTGTGGAGGTGTGGGCCTAGTCCAAATAGTAGGACCACTTACCGGAGCCAAGTTTTGATCCTGAGGCCCGTGGATTACTGGCCCACCCGCTGCAATTTAAAGGCTAATCAAACTCTCAGACGGTCTCTTCGACGCAACAGAGTTGGTACTGTGGTACTTTGCGGTGTTGATGTAAATTGATCAACAACCAAATCACTCCGTCGCTCAACAATCGTTTACAATCAACAATCTCAAAAGGGGTAGTTGGGTTTCTGTCAGATTAGTCTCTGTTGTTTCAATTTGGGGGATCAATGTCGCTTTTGAATCAACTCTTCAACAGAGGCATTCTTGGCGCTAAATGGTCAGTTCCAGTAATTTTAATCGGTCTTTATTTTCAATTTATTCACTGTGAAATGATGTATAAGATTTATGTACTTGGTTAATTTAATATTTCATTAGCTCATGTAATTTGGGTTGGTCAACTCATAATATTTTTACCCAAAAAAAATTTCATCTTTTTTGTTTTGGGTATGTTGTATCTTACATTTATACGATATATATGTGTGTTTGTGTGTGCGTTTATAGTGCTTGTTGTTTTGTTTTATCAAAATTCTCAATATATGAAATACCCATCAATTCAATGAATTTTTGAACTTCTTTTAGCCAAGTTCAAAGCTTAATCTGTATGATATACATGTAAAGTTTGTTGCTGTAACTATTCTGTTTCTACTAAGAAAGTCATTATATATAATGGGGATTGTCGCAATTCTTCAAGCTTTGTATTTGTCTGCTCAAAAATGGGATGAGTTGTGCTGTAGTTTTTGATGTCTCTTAGTTATGCATAAATTTCTATTTTGGGTGTAAATGTTGATGTTGATAGATGGTTTTGTAGCAAAACATGCTTGAACTTGGCAATCGCGCGAATTAAATTGCTGCAAAACAAGAGAGACAATCAGCTCAAACTTATGCGCAAGGAGATTGCCCAATTTCTGCATGCTGGCCAAGAAGCCATAGCTCGAATCCGGGTATTCCATCAAATTCAGTCTTGCTGGTTGCCAATTCACTGGGATTCGTTTTCACTGTTTCACACAATTGATATCTTATTTATTGGTATTCAATATTCATCTTTTGTTAGGTTGAACATGTTATACGGGAACACAACACATGGGCTGCATATGAAATATTGGAAATGTTCTGTGAATTCGTTCTTGTACGTGTTCCTGTTCTTGATAGCCAGAAGTAAGTAACTATCCACAAGGGTTTACTTTTTTACATTGAAGGTGGTGATTGATATTTTTTCACTACATTTTGCCTCAATAGAGCTTAGTCTGTTGGTTCACACATTCTTTTGAGCTCAGTTTATGCATGTTTATACTGTTCTACAAACCAGTGGCACCCCTTTATTTTTTCTGACCAGGCCCTGTGTCATAGGGTTTTTAATCAAAATATTTCTTAGGTTGTGGTTTTGCCCTGAAATCCCCTTAAAGGTGTTTAAATCGACTGCCATCCTTCTAGGGTTGCATAGCTGTTGCGTATTTGATCAAATGTTGGTCTGTTTCACTAGCATGTAAAATTATTTTGTTTGCTTTTCTTTCTACATTTGCAAAATGTAGAATATTTTGAAAAAAATTAGTATCTCAAATGTAAAATTCTTGGCAATCCCAATCCAGTCTATGGTAATATTCATACTTCATACTAAGGATGCTTGGTATAGGTAGAAGTTGATATTAGGCAATTTTACTGTCAGCACCTTGACATGTCATGAATTGACAACAAAAATTCTCTCCATATCACGATTCATCTTAGAATACTAGTGGTGCTCTTGGAACAATATTAAAGTCTTGTACTTAACAAAATGAGTAAATGACTAACTAAACCACAACCATGCAATATGATATAACATCATCGCAAAAAGCCTTAAAAAGTACAAACTTGATTTCCTTTGATTCATCGCAAAAATTCTCTCCATATCACGATTCATCTTAGAATACTAGTGGTGCTCTTGGAACAATATTAAAGTCTTGTACTTAACAAAATGAGTAAATGACTAACTAAACCTCAACCACGCAATATGATAATATAACATCATCGCAAAAGGCCTTAAAAAGTACAAACTTGATTTCCTTTGATTAAAAATCCAATTACAGTAGTGACAATGCTATATTTTCTGTTTCTACTTATCCGGATACCTTTCCAAAGATGTCATTCTCTAGAAGCAAGCAAAAGCCAATTTCCTTTCTAATCATTGTACACAATTTACTATGGATCACAAATTTGGTACTCTTGGAGGAAGAAATCCAGTTTACATGTTTGGTACAGAAGAACTTTTTTATGTGTCACGAAATTGAAGGGCATTACGTTTAAAACATAAAACAGATTTCATATGCGTTCAAAGGGGTTGAACCTCAACAACTGCTGTAACTTGTGTGTAAAATAGTGCATCTTGATTCCAGTGATTTGTTTTTTTGAAAAGAATTTACTGGTGCCTTTATTAGCCTTAGATGACTGCAATACCTATATGAGATGCATTACACTCAACTAAGGAGCGCAGATACTTGTATGAAAGTGCCGTGTTCATGTTGGGCACATGTTTAACTCTGAAACTTCACGGGCACTCCTGAACATGTGTTTGACATTTCAGGGATTTGTCTATAATTTTAAAATAAATTTCATTATTTCAGGGACCCCTTAAAATGGTTAGAAAATTTTATTTGGAGTCATGTTTAATCTTTTCTCAACCTTGTTTGTCTGTGAGAATTGTCAAATTCTGTCATTGATTATGACGACAATGATATTGATGAAATACTTAGGAAATCGATAATAGTATGTTGCGAATCAATAAAGACTTTGGACCTCGTGTATGGACTTAGTTTGGATTTGCCATTTTAGAATTGCATTAGGATAAAGGCAAGGATGATGATTGTGATTTTAGAATTGGTTTGCTCTTATCATTATGAAGTTCTATTTTTATTAAAAGCACAGCCTAGAAACACAACATTGTTACAAGAAACATATAATCTACCTTTTTTTTTTTCATTTGTCACCAGGTCAAAATCTTACATGATAGTGGCAATGGGATTTTGATTTTGGAGAAGAATTCTGTGTTGAAGCATACAGCAGATCATTTAGTAACTAACTGGGAAGTCATATTTCATCATAATCTGTGTGCCATTTTCTTTTAAACGAGAAGGGGTGGGATTTGTTTAAGGTGTAAGATTGGATGTAACACATCTTTAACAAACCCTGTTCTTGGTGTTGAAATTTCCTTGCTCCCTGGGGTTATTCAGGAGTTAGTCACATTAGGCAAAGTGGCCCTTGACATCAGATCAGTTCAGTTTTGGATATAACATAAAGTCCAGATGATAACCAATTGGGAAGTTCATTGCCACAACATCGGTAATTTTTTCTTAAGAGTTCCTTCGGGCTTTCTCAGTACCCCAACTGATTCCTCTTCCTTGGTTTGGAGTAGGTCACAAAAGTATAGGCAATAGGGTGTTCTTGCACAGTCTTTAAAATTGTTTTGAGAATAAGACACTAAGAAATATCTCTTGCGCCCTTCACTTAAATGTTTCTCAAGGGCGTGAAGCATACTTATCCTTCTATTGGAGTGAATCAACACCTTTGCCATCAGTGATACATATAAGCTATGCAAAATGTAATCACTTGTCCAAACCTCATGTTGGGTCCTTGAGGCCACTACAGTACACCTTAGAACAAGGCTTTTGGCTATATTAGGATCATACTTTTATTGGAGGTTCATTATTAATAATCTCTTGTCTCCTCTTTCTCTCTCTAACTATTTTAATTAAGATTTCATTACAAAGAGTGCCATTTTTGTTGTAATGATAAAAGCTTGAATGTTTAAAGTAAGACATGGGTTTTGACTTAGAGAGCAGCTACTTGATGTGAATAAAATCAGAAGCTAGGTCTGTATGTGTTCCATCCATCTTTGCATCCCGGAGCAGCAAGATCAAAGTTGGTTAATGACCATTTGAGAAGAAAAAAAAAAAGTAATAATGAAAATTGAGAGAGAACAAGGTATATGCAGAGTATACAATAAGCAATATTTTCCCAGTTTTCTACCTACAAGACATAATTGTAAGAAAACTTAAAAAAGGAACTGCAATTTCCTCAACTGTATTACAATTGAACAATGATCTAAACAAGACCTCCTTGACCTTTAAAGCATGTCATCATCTTTTTATGAAGATCTTTCTTCTGTTTATGCATTGCTATTCGTCTCCTTAGATAATAGATACTTCCATTCTCAAAATCCTGGTATAAAAACAAATTAATTTCCGAAGCTATTATTTAATCACTCTCCCACAATGTACCATGGCTTGACTCAATCGTTCTTAGTTTTATAGAATAGAAACTAACATGGTTATAGAGATGCTTTACGTTGATTTATGGCATAGCTTTATGATACTTGATTATTGGACTAAAAAAATAATAATAACATTTTTTCATAAGTTAAAATTATATATAATAAATAATAAAATAAAATAATAAATATATAAATATGTATATAAAATGATAATAATAACATAGCTCTTCATGATATTATAAACTTGCTTCTTATTTATTTATTTATTTGAAATATCTTAATGTTGAGAGAATGAAAAGATGCTCATTTAGGGGTTACATATAAGCTTTGTCCGACATGTAAATTTCCAATTTTCAAATTCACTGTATCTCTTCATGATTGCTGAAACAATTTCTGGCAGTTGCTAAAATAGTTTCTGGCTTTAACTGAATTCTGTAACATGTTTGAAGGGCCTCTTTGGTTTGCTTCAACTATGAAGCACTTTTGGAATTTTTACTAATAACAATGAAGAAGTCCATGCACCTTGTAAGATATCTGCAAGTGACATAATTTGTGATTATCTTTTTCAGGGAGTGTCCTTTGGAATTGCGGGAAGCTGTTGCAAGCATAATCTTTGCTGCTCCTAGATGTTCAGATTTGCCAGATTTGTTGCATGTCAGGACCTTGTTTGCTGCAAAGTATGGGAAGGAGTTCATAGCTGCTGCCTCTGAACTTCGGCCTGACACGAGTGTCAACCGCACGGTTAATTGGCTCCAATACATCTTTTACATTGCACTTTTGCTATATACCTGGAGGAGTGACCACTGTAAATTGGATGTCCCGATTCCATCTTGTCTGAATTTCTTTTTTATTTCTGCAGATAATTGAGAAACTTTCCGTTAGTGCTCCATCTGCAGGAGTAAGGCTCAAGGTACTGAAAGAAATTGCACAAGAGTATAACGTGGCTTGGGATTCTTCTAAAACAGAAGCAGAATTTAGTAAAAGTCCTGAGGATCTGCTGGTACTTGCCATATCCTGTTTCATCTTTTCTCCCTTTATATCGATAGTTCTAGTTCAATGCCCCCTTTGTTGAAAGATATAAAAATTGAAGAGAGAAATTAAACATGAAGAACACAAGAAAAGACACACAAAGCCCAAAGGGTTACATCACCCTTATTATATTCTCTCTTAAGATTGTTTACAATGAGCACCTCTATTTATAGGTGAAAGAACAAAGCCATAAATATGGAAAATACATTAATGGAGGATTCATAAAATCAATCCTATAAATCACTCAAATCATATTTTACCATAGACTAAGATCACTCCCACAATATTCTCAGAGCAATACTTTGTGGAGTAATTTAAGGTTCCTATAATAATATTCTCCAACACCCTTTTTATTATTTGATTCATCAACAGTCACTTGTGTTATGATGTGAGTAGCAAACATGACACAATATAGGTGTGTGTGTAGGACCTCTAACAAGATTGGTGGTTAATGTCTTATCATGGAAAGATTTTAGGAGCTCTTTTGCTTAGACTATTGCCGAGTTTTTTTAAAAAATATAAAATATTTAGTGTCAAATAATATTACAAAGTGGTTATTTTTGCTGGAGGGACCATTGTTTGGTGCACCAGTAAATGCTCGAGCTGTCAAGTGTGAGAAAGCAGTCCTGAGAGCAGTCACTTTGTGTAAATAATGCTAAAAGTTTGGTTTCTATCCAGTAACTTTTCTTGGACCACTCAGTTAACAGGGACCATACTGGTTAATATGCTTGCCTGGGTTCTCATTACTTTGTATTGTTGTCCTTATTATCACTAGGATATATCAATAGATGCCAAAGAGGAGGGATGGGGAGAAATGATTAGTACACAGAAATTATATATTTGAACATCTTTAGGGGAGATAATTACCAAAACCTTTCATCAATCATCATCAATCAGCGTGAGTGGATTCCATTAAGTGGAGCAATTGCCACAACAACAATAGCTGCTTCCATGGAAAATAAACTTTTTATTTCAAAAATTAAAAACATGCTCTTGATATGTAAAACTGTGTCCTTACTCTGTAATTTCCCTCTTTGTGACTTCTTTCTTTCTCTTAACCTCTCTACCTAGCCACCCTAACCTCTTTTTTCTGTCTCTCTCAAACCAACATCCAAAAGCAAAATCCAGCAGTGAGGATGGTGCTTTGAGTTTGATCATGGAATGATGGTGAAGAAGATTGGGGTTTTGCAAAGGGCTTGAATGGTGGTGAAAAGTGAGGAAATTGAATAGCTGATCTGGTGAAATGGGATGTCTGAGGATGGTGGTGGTGATGAAGCTGACATGTTATAGCAGATTGTGGCAGTTGACTCTGCTTATGAGGGATGGATACAATTTGGTGGTTGCAGTGGTTTCGGCTAGATGAGGTCATAGATTTGATGGTGGCAAATCAGAGTGACAAATGGAGGTCAATGATGATTGCTTTCAGCTTTGTTGGAGATAGAGGTCAGGTTTGAATTGTTTGTGGTTTGGCAACAGTGCTAATGTTTTAGATAAGGGGTTGAACAATGGCAATTTTGAACTGTATTATAGGTGGACGAAAGTGGTATTGGTGATTTATTAAAGATTGAGATGACAGAGGTGGTTTGGGTTTGGTGGTCAATTGAGGAGGTGTTGTCATAGACTGGAATGAGAATATAATGGTGGTACGGGGTAATTGATTTCCTGCAGCTATGGTGGTCTTTTAGCCAATTCTTGGAACTTAGTTTGGGGTTTCGTTAGCGGTGATGGTGTTAAGACAAATCTAGTTACTGGTATTGTTGTGGTGGTTGTAGCGATTGGTGAGGGAGGTGGTGGTGACTGATGAGGGATGTTGTAGTTGTTTCATCACGTAGGTGGACAAATCTGTGGAACATTTTAATTTGGGGGGCCAATCATCTCTGTGAAATAAAAATTTTACGCACTGGAAACAACATTTGCTGCTATGATTGTGGTGCCCTTACATATTCTTTGATGTCCAAGTCAACATTTACTGGATTTTTTTGTGGCATTCAAGACTAAATGAATATTAGTTTTTCTCATATTCGATGAGCTCCAAGTCAACTTTGATTTTCCATTTATTCTCTTTTATTATTATTGCTATTTTTGCCACTTAATATTTAATTATGTTTTTTTTTATGTTATCTATAGAATGGACCAAAGCCCGTACCTAGTGCTGCACTTTCTCGAGCTCCCTCCAAACAGGATCCTCCTGAACATCCACCTTCTAGCAAAGCACATCCTATCATGTCTACGGATAATAAACTAGGAGTCCAGTATCAACAATCACAAAGCCCTGGCATGCCCTTGTTGGGTTCGGAGGGAACTGCACCATCAGTTAAGGATTGTAATATAGCACACGTTAGTGATCCTAAAATGGAGACAATTCCACATTCATCCAGACCACAATCATCGGATATTTTGGAGAGAGCTCAAGCTGCTATTGCTGCTGCGGATCGTGCATCAGCTGCTGCCCGTGCAGCTGCTGAGTTGGTTAATGTTAAATTTGGCTCTTTGAAAGTAGAAGAAAGCAAGAGTTAAAAGTTCTCCGTTGGATTATTTTGCTTTAAATACGAAAGATAAAAGATCAAGGCAATGCGTTCTTGACATTCCTTGGGTTGGGTTAGGAGAAATGTATATCCTCTGCTAAACTTTTATCGAGTGCACTGTGGTGTTATTATATAATTTTCGAGCCGTTATATGTTCTTCTGGTTAAGAACCGAAGTGTTTACTTGTAAAATGCATTATATAATGCTCTTTTCTCAGTTGCTATCGTGTATCTTATTTTAGGTTCTGATTATTGAATTGTGTAACTTGTAATGCTTATCAATATGAACTTGCACTTTTTGCATTTCCAAGTGTGAGCCCAAATGATGAAATCATCACATGTAGAATATGAGCATTTGGGAAATTCGGGAGTTACTTCTTGCATGTCTCAACCCTAATATATATATATATATATATATATATATATATATATATCTTAGGTTAGAGAAATTGGTTTATAATGATATGGTGATTGGTGGCTGTTATGACTGGTGCATTTCCAAGTGTAATGAATTGTTGCTCCTTATCTAGGGTTATAATAGTACTTTGTTGTCGTATATGCCTTCTGTTTGTATGGAGCCTAGTGAAGTACCAGCACCTGCATTCACACAATACACTTTGGGTACGGGTACGGAATATTTGTTCAGCCATGCACTCAGTCAGCATATTCATTACTTAAATTAATTACTATATATACTTGTGTATATAAGTCTTTCTTTTTCTTACATAATCTTTTTGAAGTCTGGAGTGCTCATGCAGAACCCTCTATTACATAAAATTACTATTTTACCCTGAAAATCTGGTAAGAATATCATACAATATGAATATTTAGCCATAGTTTTTTCCTAAAATTCAACGTGAAGGCATACGCTCCACATTTACTGGAGTCCATGTAACATAAATTGTAATAGAATTGCATAACTCTTGTTAAGAAAATGCAACAAAATATGTTTTTATTCGAATTATTGTTAGGCATTGATCTTGTCAATACATATACATAGCACTTGTGTGATATTAGGTCTTTCATTTCATGACTAAACAGCAAAATATTGCAAAACCTAGGCTACAAAATAGAAATATGCATTGATAGGAAATGTTGTGAAAGTGAACACAGAAAAGCAACCAAGGCAAAGTTGACTACTGTGCTCTGTGCTTTCAATCTGTTGTTTAATGTGGAGGCAGTGTTTGGTGAATAATTGTGCTATTTTTATCTTCAACCCGAATCCTCTCCCGTGACACAGGATGTTCGGTGTCACCATAATAACTTTATATCGAAATAATTTTCAATGCGCAACAACTTTACATCACATGTTATGTGATGTATATATTATATTGCGAAAAGGATGTAATGTGTTGTGTAAGCGACAGAGGACGTACATCCCGATTCGTACATGCAGCGGCACAGCATAATTGGTGATGGGCAACCAGAGATGAACATAGCCCAACCAATGAAGACATCCTGTGTCACAGGAGGTGATCCCGATTCGTGCATGCAGTGTCACAGCATGATTGGTGATGGGACAGCCAGAGATGAACAGAGCCAAGCCAACTGAGACAAATTTTGATCTGATCAGTTAAAAAAACCAAAATAAAATGTTGTTGCTTTCTTAGAAACTCGATCGACCTAGCTACTACATGACATCCACCACCCCTTGTGAGTCTGACCACACAAGGCCATGCCATATGCTAGCTCTGGGTTTTATATGTGTGTGTGTGTATATATATATATATATATATGTATGAAATGTCCCTTTTGTATAAGCATGCATACACCCACAGACATTTTTGTACAGCTTAATACATATATAGTCACACTTGAGCAGCATCCTCCTCCTCATGCAACTCAATTTCAAACCCACGTCTGCTTCTATAAAGACACAATATAACATGAAACTTCAGCAAACACTTGTGTAAGATACAAACCGTACTGATACATCATATTGATATATATACATATATGTGTATGTGTGTGAGAAAGAGAGTACTTACTGTGAGAAGGGTTTTGTCGTTAGTAAGAGAAGTATGGGAACAAGTTAAGAAAAATGAATAAAGAAAAGCAGTGGTTACACAATGATAATAACATGCATATTAGCAGGGACTCGAATGCGTGATCTCCACTTTGTACCCACATTGATTTTGTTGAAATGAAGAGTCGTTTTCGTCTTGAATTTCGTTTTATGTTTTAACACACAGGATATTTCCAGTGCTCAGTCTAGATCTTCTGTGTGTGTGTGTGTGTGTGTATATATATATATTCAGAAATTCAAACAAATTGTACAGTAATATGAATACTGTATGGACTGCCAAACAGATCTGGACAGACCAAACAAAAGGCCCAGAAGCCCATAATGGACAAAAGATTCACATAACGTGAGGACATCCATCCAACATGAGAGCCCGAACCGCCAGAATTTCATTTTAGGAGAGATTTGAAAAGAAAAAAAAGAAAAAAGAAAAAGAAAAAGAAAAAATTTAAATTTAGCTAAATGGACTTATGATTGTGAGGTTGAATATTTAATAAGAGGATGCTGCGATGGTTGAATATGACCAAAGAAATCAACTTAAGTATACAATTTGTTCCATGAATCGAACGAAAAATTTCTTTCAAATGGCATATTGAACGGGTGAAAATATATATATATATATATATATCTAACATGACAAATATTTAAGAACTTAAATTATCATGCAAAGAGTATTTAACATAACCTATTTTGTTTTAGAAGGATAGTAGAACAATTTGATAGTCATTATGCCACAAATTTTAAGAACTAATTGTCTTTCTAGCTGCTTCTAGTAACTGTGCACCATAACTACTAGTTCGTCGTTATGGCTGCTTCTACTAAGTAAGATAATCAGGGGGACATTTTATAAATTAGGCAAAGTAAAAAGGGCAGGGTCAAACTAATAATTTTGTAAACTAGGGGGACACTTTATAAAAGTTCACAAATATATATATATATATATATATGTGTGTGTGTGTGTGTGTGTGGGGCACAAATTCAAGATTTTATTATTATTATTATTATTATTATTATTTTCAAATCAAATAAGTTAGATAGATTCGTACATTTACTTGTTAAGTATGAAGAATTCTACCTGGATAGAAAAATAAATATAAAAATTTGTGTGAGATCAAGAACTAGAAAAGACAATCTCTTTCTTTTATTGAAATTTTATTACAAATGTGGCTCATATACAATTACATTATTTTTGTTTAAGGAAGGAAAATGATTTGATAGTCTAAACGGCAAACCGAATAGGGAGCCGAAGTGCACCCTAATTCACATGATAGTTGTTGTGGGATCCGACCCGTGTTTGCATCCCATACCATTCATCACATGGATAGGGAGCACTTCGGATCTCCATATGACCTTTGTAAGGGTCGTTTTTATAACACAATAATATATATATATATATATATATATATGGCGATATCTTAAACACAAATATGAGGGATACAGAGATTGAACTGGATGAAGAAGAAGAAGAAGAAGAAGACTGATCCAACGAGATTTAGATGAGGTTAGGGAGAATATGCTATAGTTATATCACAAAGCCTTCTTGTTTCTTGTCCTGCCTTAATGCTTCCTCAAAGAATACTATTTATAGACCCTGGGCCTTTAGGGTATTGCCCAATGGTTCATCGCATGCTTTTTCCTTTGCCTCATGTTTACTTGGGCAGTCATGATGGCCCTAGGAGCCTAAGAGACCACTTCCTCTCATCGAGCCCTGCGGTATGTTATGTTTCTCTCATTTGTAGCATTAAATGCATATTGTCATTACTTTACCGACGGTAACCGAACTCGTAATGGTAATGTCAGAGCATTATATGTTATATGAAGGCTTTCTGTCATAGCATATGCTCACCATCTCATTAATTAGGCCTCACGAGGCATTTCTTGATTTCGCATCCATCAATCCAAGATCCTTCCAAGTATTCCAATGTGAAGTCCCAAGTATATATGCAAGAAGGCCCTACCCTTGTTTCGTATTCTACTTGGGCACCCCTGGTTTCATTAACACTCGTGACCAGGGTTTCTGTCTTGGTGCGCTGTCATTGTTTAAGTGACTCGAGGGTGAACCCTCAAGGTTTTGGTGACCTGGCGTGATGCCAGGGTTTAAGTGACTTGAGTGTTGGCCCTTGAGGTTTTGATAACCTGACGGGATGCTACGGTTTAAGTAACTCTAGGGCTGGCCTTCGAGGTTTTTGGCGCAATGCCAGGGTTTGAGTGACTTTATCGAAGGCTGGCCCTCGAGGTTTTGATGACCTGGCGCGATGCCAAGGTTTGAGTGACTCGAAAGGTGGCCATTAAGATTTTATGACCTAATGCGATGCCAAGGTTTGAGTGACTGTTTGCACCATAAAATTAATTTTATGGAACACATGGTGTTGGTTGATTGGAGGAAAAGAAATATAACGTGTAATAGGACTCTTATTTTGGAGTCTAAAGTCACGTCACTTTGTGTTTCAAAACACAGGTGTTTGGATAAAGCTTTAAGACATGTGGATAAGTCTAAAGGCAAAAAGAAATTTTTATAATTCAAATATAATTTTTGAATTTAAAAAGAAACTGCCAAAATAAATTGCTAAGCCTCAACTATAAATAGCACTATGAGGGCCTTGTGCAAAAGGTCCCCGACTAACACAAATTTCCTGTTTCTTTATCGATATTTTTCATTCTCTGTAATTCAATACAGTCTTTTAATTGTATTTTACTTCTGTTTATAGAAGTAACCTAATGTTAGAATTCCACTTCTTGTACTCTGTATAAGAATTTTACTTATGAAATAAAAGTCGACACTTGGCATTAGTCCACTCTACTTTTGTTTTCTAAGTCTCTTGGAATAGATGAATACTTGTGTAATTTGTTTTACTCCCTTCATTCATTCTACACTGAAAGTCCTCTTTATTGAGACGTTGAAGAACCTGAAGGAAAGGGTCACCTGATTCAGAAAGGGCCGATTTTAGACTCGGTCAGTACCAAGGATAGTTTGGCTATCTAACCCCTTGGGTCGAAACATTCTGGCACGCCCCTAAAAAAAAAGCCAAACAATGACTCGAGGGTTGGCTCTCGAGGTTTTGATGACTTAGCGTGATACCACGGTTTGAGTGATTCGAGGGCGGGTCCTTAGGGATGTCTATTTTTACCGCCCCGCTGAGGCTCTGCCCCGTCCAGCCCCGTTAATAATGGATATGGGAACACTTTTTATACCGTTGGGGCGGGCATGGATACAAATTTTGTACCCGTCGCGAGTCACGGGGTGGGTAAAGGTTTAGTATACATATCCTGGGGGCCCGCC